CACATTTCCCATCGAACAAAAATTTTGTAGTGACACCTTCGATCTGGGATTTCACAAACTCAAATTGCCCTTGGGGTTGCTGGAGGTAGCAACTGGATGAGTCTGGGTCGCATCAAATATTCACCCCCTCCCCCCCCAAAAAAACCCCCAAACAACCCAGAAACCCTACTTTTAAAAGTGTTCAGTTTCAATGTATCTTTATATTTTAAAGTACAACTGATCTTATCTTCTCAAAGTAAAAACAAAAATATTATGATATAAATCTATGGCAACACCTATGTAAAATATTGTGAGTGAGGGGAAAAAAAGGGTCACTAATACTATACAATATTTTGATGTCAAATAGAGGCCCAAAAATAAAGATAACAATAGATTTCAGTTACATAGCACTCTATCCCATATGAGAATAAACTCTGCAGGCCTCAACTGACCGGCAGGCCGTGGGTTTGAGACCATTGTCACAAACATTTTTTCGTTTTAGTACAGGTATTTTTTTTATAGTAGAGGTTTTTCAGCTTTCGCAACTGCAAAAGGTCATATGAGCGCCAAAGGGTGGATGTCAACAGAGAAGTCTTTACAGGGAATCGGGCTTACTCTGCTCACCTCTCTAGCTCCAACAGCACAAAGTCTGTTTCGACTATCAAGGCACCCTGGAAATAGTGGGTCACAAGAGTGTGACAAACATACATAAGAAGTAGGGAAAAAATGACGATAGTAAGGATTAAGAAAGAAAAAGCAGCAGCTCCCTGCTGCAGTTCAGGCACAGTAATGAGCATGACATTGATGAATAAGCCCATTTACAATTACTATTCTACTGTGCATAAGAACCCAAGATGTTAATGTCTCCCCTTTGGGAATGGCCTAAAGACACTTCAGTCAGTAGCACAGCCCCGGGGGTATAGTCACAAACAGAAAAGCCCTTACACTCCATGTCCTCATCAAACAACAAACTATTTAAAAACAACACACAATTAGGAGCATGTCTTTCCTGACGCACACAACATTTGATTCTTCAAAATTGCACCACCACCATCAATCGCCACACATATAAACACATCCAGCATTCCTTACCATGTTTTCTAACCAATATCAACAAAACTTAGTACAAGTCATACATCATTGGCCAGCTGTTCATATGTACTAAGCCCAAAATTTTATTGCAGTTTCTTACACCTATCCGTGCGGTGTATTTTACTATCGTATCTATAAGACATGGAGAACTCTGTGCCACCACTTTCCAAAGAGGAAATTTACTCGTTAATTCTATTCGTGCGCCTTGCATGGCAGTCTGTCAAAGTGACTTTTTGAGAAATACTGAAAGTTTCAAAGTGATCTTTGCACTAGAAGTATTCTTAAATGTGAAAAATACAACCATGGGGGTACAAAATTACCCCAGGACGTACGGATAGGGTGAATCTGTGGCATCAGTAGCTTGTGCTCAAAGATCAAGTGTTGAAAAAAAAGCAAGAAAACACATCATGTAAGTACAACTGCAAAAAGAATTGAAACAGTGTTTTCTCTCTCCTGACAAAGTTTACTTTCTAAGCATAGAACATTTGAACAGCTTGCCCCCCCCCAAATTTTTTAAATTCAAAGTATTACAGCACAAACTGAACCTCCATAGCCTAACAAAAATGAAGAATATTTTCTTTTAAACAAAACTAGGCAAGAAAGAAAACTGCCTCGTATTGATATCCACTCAGTCCTTTCACGACAAATTTCACTTATAATGATCTTCAGCTGCAACACCACAATAGAAAGCAAGAATTTTTGATAGAAAAAAAAAAATCAAAACAAAAAAGAACCAAAAGTGTTACTTTTCGTCTTTTAATGTAAGTATTTTTTCGCCTCCATCAACACAATTACGATTATTTAGGAGATGGGCATTGACCCTGCCAGTGAGGGCTGGTTGTCGATATCTATCTGGCCACTGCATGAAAAGTCACAAAAATTCATGTAAAATCAGATAATGTACAACCGTAAACGTGTACCCATTCACCACTTTCAAAACATACAAATAAGAAAAGAAATTGTTTCAAAAACCATAACCATTAAAATCGGCAACAACAGCTGAAAAAACTTGGCAGAAACCTGAATTATGAGCACAAAGAAATCATTGTTGACATTTGCTTACAGGATTAAGGTCCAGGAAAAACAAAAGCAGAGAGGGACACGTAAACCTACAGAAAAGTCATGAGAGTTGAGGAGACATTATTTATGCCTGTCTTAAAGACGGGCATACTTAGCCACCAGCTTATAACAAACAGTTCAGACTAGAAAAGCGATTTCTTTTAAAAGCCTTCACATTAAATATATTACTTATGTGCATCTTAAAGACAAGTGCATTTAGCCACCCGTTTGAAAACAGTTCAAACAGGAAAACACGATTTTTCTCAAAAGCTTTCATGTTAAAGACAACTACCAAACAATATGAACAGACACGGTATGATAAACAGTTTTTGGACCTCACATTTTCAACCACAGCGCAGCATCGCATATGTATAAACTATTGCATTTATAAGATAACAAAAACCCAACGAAAAAACAAAAATAAAAACAAATTACAGCTGTTTAGCAGTGAACACTGAAATTTGTACACCATTCATGAGTCTTAAGGACCTCCCACATCTGAAGAGACAGAAAAAACCCCAAAAACATGCACAAGAAGAGAACCAACCACCCACCACAAAACAAAACAAAAATATAATACCGGACAGTGGATTTTTATTTTTCTGCTTGCGTTCTTTTTTTATGGGGGGGGGTAGGGGGGATTTGCCCATTTTCTTTTTTTTGTTGTTTTGCGTAGCCTACATGTTGAATTTGCAAAATAAGTCACCAAATTTAATCTAGCACCCCTTTTAACATTTCACAAACGGTTAGGTTTCGTGAATTTCTTTAAAAATAGCAAAAATTGTGATTTCAAGTCACCTGCAAGGAAAAAAACCCCTGGTGTACAGTAAACCTCTGTTACCTACAGTCCCACTTGTGGGAATCTTTTGATTGTACAGAAAACAAAATACCCAACAGTTTAGGAATGAGATGGTACAAAGATAAAAATAAGTAACAAATTCAGCACATGTTTCAAGTTGCGACATGGTCAATGCTGTGACCTTCAAAGACTCATCACTCACACCTTGTACAAAGCCAAACTTGAGTCATGGTTGAATTTAACGAAACAGTTTATAAACTGCAGCTAAAACAAAACAAACATATGAACACTCTATTTCTAGGAATATTTGCCCACATGACGTAGACCTGACAACCACTACATGACCAAAAATAGTTTTCCTTACAACCCTTTAAATAAAAAAAAAAAACCAGATTTGGGAGGAAAAGTCTCCAAAACCTCAGTGTGTCCTAACATTTTGCCCTTGATCACAACTTCAGACCAGCTGGCAGGGAGAAAGAAAGAAACAATCAACTCCCAAAGACGTAACTTTTATAGGCTATTAGAGATAATGCTGGATAAAAAAACCCCACTTTGTACTGATACAGGTCTATGATTCTATCAAAGCCTACTTCAGTATAAACTTCACATCTTTGCACAGGGAACTACTCTGCGATCTCTCACGTGTACACTGCGGTAAATACAACAAACAGACAACACAGACAATATAAATCAAACCTCCCATTAAACACACTATTAAGACGACGATAAAAACACGTTTTATAAACATCAACAGGACTTCGAGCATCACTGAATCTTTTTGTCCAGAGCTAGATCCTGGCGCATCGCCTCCACAATGGGCTGGAACAGGTCGAAGCAGAAGACGCCGTTTTCATCAAAATAACTGGCAACACACTTGGACGTGGAGGCTGACCTCTCCTGTTTTGTTTTTCCGTCTGTGTAGGATATGGTCAGACTGTAGACGTCATCGTATCTGGAGAGAAAAACAATACATAACAATACCAAAATAAACAACAATAATAACAATGACAGTAACAGTAATAAGAATAATGATAATAATAATACAGTCAAACCTGCCCTGACGGCCACCTCCATAAGACGGCCACCGGTACAAACGGCCACTTTCCATTTCCCCCCTTCTGTTTTTTCTATATAATTTAACTGTGTAAAACGGGCACCTGTCCAACGCGGCTGCGGCCACCATATTTTAACACACAACCCCTATCACACAAAGCAATAACACCTGTCTTAGACGGCCACCTTTGTGACTCCATTACGTTCTGTCATAAATTTTTCATTGGCCCCTGGCGTTGTGGGAGAGCCGTCATATTTCAATCCACTATCGTTGTTGTTAGGTAGTCCCTCCAACCGATCATGTTGCGTAGGCCCCTCCCACTGTTGACCAATAGCTACCACTTTTCAGCTGCTGGTGAGGTAAGCGTGTGATCCCTCAAAACCCATAAGTAAGACCTAGAGGTCATGTTGAAACAAAATCATCATCAGGGGAGATAGCAAAAGGAAATAAACAACACCAAACTCATAGATTAGGCCTACTTTACAGTTTTCCTTGAATTTATTACTGAATCCCTTATAGCGAGAATCCAGCTATAACGGACATTTTGCTCCGGTCCCCACTCTCTCGTTATAACAGGATTCCACTGTACCAACATGAAATTAAAGTCTAGTGATAAAGCGGCCCCACACATTTTTCTCAAGCACACCTTTTTCTGAGAAGCCTATGTTCTGACGATACGTTCTTATTGTCAACTGCTCGTAATAAAGAAAGAGGTGATTAGATCATTGTAGACCTACTCCAGAAAACTACTTGAAGCATTTTCTTTGTGGAATACTTGCTGTGGCCCAGGCTCACCCAGACTCTACCTTCAGAGGCTTGAGACCTTATCTTAACCCCTTCAGAATGTAATTTTTCGGGGTGGGGGGGAGTTGAAACCATTTTTTTGGATGTAATTATGTTGTCATCCTGTGAATCATTTTGAGGGTATAGAAAAAAAATCGGCTTTACAGATAGCATTGTAAACATTGTAGTGCCATTTTATGTAACACTGGAAAGGTCATTCATTTTTTATACTCACTGATGTTACAAAAGTAATAAAATGGTAATGATGAAACAAACTTTGGATCCTGTTCAAATTACCGATATATTGGTGATTTATTTTTGCAAGCGCCGTAAAACCCTCTACTATAAAAAAAAAAAGGTGATATATTTTAAATGTGCTCTCCAGAAGCAAAAAAACCAACAAACCCCCTCAATACCTACTTGCGTAAGGTGGAGGAGAGCTTCCAGGTGTTGTCCGGTTCCATCATGGCCCGGTCCTGTTCCAAGGCCACTAGGAAAATTCCTCGCTCGACGTAGCTCAGGTAAAACGTCAGCACTCCCATCAAGATGAAGTACCTGCACGCTGTTGTAAGGATGAATACAGACTGCATCCACAAATGTGACACCCAGACTACACCAAAGTGCTTTAAAGTAGGCAACAGAATGTCGTCTCAGAACTATATTTAGTCCAAAGTGCACTCTTGATTTAACATTTAGCCAACTAGGGACGCCGATCAGCAACAGTAACAAGCCGCCCGTTTCTTCCACAGAACGTAGACTGGCGACAGTGTCATATAGCAATAAAAATTTTGTAGCACAAATTTCCTTTTTTGACAAGCACACCTGATTAAGTTATAATAAATTCCTTTCTGAAAGGTTTGTGTGTCCTTTGAGATAAAAAAAATCAGTTTATTTACAACAAATGGAGTAATTTTTGTTGAAAAATGTTGAGAGAGGTACACCATTTGCATTCTGGTATGTGGGGACAAAAGTTATGCACTCTGCACGCTGGGAAAGTGTTAATAAGCATAGTTTGGACAAAATAATTATGAGGCGACGAAATGTAGAGAGAGAAAAACTCCCAGTCTCGGCACACTGGTCATGACAATCAAGGGAAAAAGGGTTTGGTCAGTAAAGCATGAATACAGTCGAACCTGTCTAATACAATTGCCTATAGAAACGACCTTGCATTTTTTCTATATATGTGAGGCATCGTGGTGAAATCAGGCGCTCGTCAAAATAACAGAATCAAAGAAATCAGCATTTTACGGCCAGTTTAGAATTTTTTTTACTTCAGATGTTCAAATTTTTATTTTTTGGCTCAACACCTTGTATGTCCATTCAAACAGACTTGAATGGAAAAACGCAAATTAAAGGCACAAAAAATGTAAATTTGTAGTTTCCAAGGACTCTTGAGCCACGGAAATCACCAAACTTTGGCGGCCATTTTCTAGCTAATTTTACTCCTGAAACCAGTCGACCCCACCTCCTCCAATTACAGATATATCGACTTCTATTCAAGATAAATGGATTTTACAAAATCGAAAGCAAGGCAAATTAACAACCTTTAAGATAACACCAATAACACCATATACAGTCCATGCCGGCTATAAGCACGCCGGCCTTAAGCACGTTTCGGACTCAAGCACGCTAAACGGCTCTTACCGAATTTTTGCTATATAAATTACACGCAGATAAGCACGGTAACTTCGGCTTCAAGCACGCTTCATTTACAAGGCAGTCAATATTTTCATGATGACCCATCGAAGTTCGAACACAGTTCACACCGCAACAGTGGAGTGTGTCAAGAGAAACACACGCAAGTGATGGACACACACACTCGCATGGGCGGAGAGGAAGGCAGAGAGATGCACACAGCCGTTCGCGCGGACATAGGATCTAGCCTAGGCCTGGGGCAAAGCTACACACGATAAAAAAAAAAAGAGTCGGGGAGATGAGAAAGGGAGGCTGGCTGTGATTTCACCTTTGACCCTCGCTACCCATTAATCCTGATTGTGTATCACGCGCGAGGTGGGATGAAGGCGGTGGTTGAGTGGCACAGCGGGCAGTGGTACGCACAGGCAGTGTGTTACAGTAGGCCTAGTGTGCTGTATCGTGACTGGCCGTCTAAATTAAGTTTTCATTTCCCATTCGACCACAAAACAAAAACAAACAAGCGAACAAAAACTACCATGGCGGGTGTCTAAATAACAGTGCACACTTTTGCGGGACCGCTATAGGCCTACTTACAAACTAAGGGAAATAGCACGAGGAATTTTCTACATAAAAAATCTCTGGATTATGTCTACTTCGCACTTAAGCACGCTTCGGCTTTAAGCACGCTTAAGCTTTCTCCCGATGACCGTGCTTAAAGCCAGCATGGACTGTACTAAAAAATTGACGAGCGCCTGATTCCAGTTTTGAGCCTGAGAAAAAGCCTAGAACCAGAATATCGACTGTCATGAACCAGTCTGGGTGTCATGATTCATATTATAATAAACGTGAAAGACAAAAATTAATGCTCAGACTCAAAAGACCTATTCAGTGTGAGAGGTGTAAGAATTGTGGGAGGGCAAGATGCAGTGACACTGAAAATCTGCAAATCTTCTACAGAAAGCTAAAATATAGAGAATTAATATAAGTCGTCCCTGTAAGTTTCTAAACGCGTAAGTCCGTTGAGGCAAATTTTACAGGAGAGACAAAAAAACGTAATAAATAGTAAAAACAGAATGCAAATGTACTGCTCTTTTTACATCTTGTACACAATACTTCTATGTATACAACTGTCAATATGAAAATTCTTTTGTTTTTGAAAATTGACCATAAAACAGACTTACGTGTTTAGAGACTCTAAATTTGAAACATTTAAACACGTAAATCGAACACGCTGACTTGCGTTATGAATTGGAGCAGAAAGTTTGTAAGCTCTACTCGCGTAAGTCTGCGGCAGGTGGCCGTGGTTATCCATACGCGTTTAGAGCTTTCATTATTTTAACATGTGGCTTGTGAATCATTGGCTTGCATGTTTACAGCACGAATCTTTCAGTTTATTTATTAGAAAAACTATGCAAAGGACTTTGTAGAAATAAGGCAGATTGGTTTTATAGATTCTAGGTGCATTTGACTTTGCAAGTAATATTGGTTGGTCGAATTAATTGGTATATTAACTATATATCTGGTTGTTATTATTCTTATTTTCCAGTCCTTTCACACTTACAACACCAATCGACTGTAGGTCTATTATAAGTAAGAGGATTATGACGAAAGACAACAGAAGAAAACCCTTAGAATGACAAAATGTAGCTTGTGTGAGAAGTAGCAAAGCATACGGGAGCAGCCTTCCAGTCACCCAACAAATTACGAAAAGAAGCCAGTTCATTCGTTCAAGCTAATTTTCAACTGTATTAAAGTAATGCTGTAACTGTAACACATGATATAACATAACAGAACATTTTACATAATAAAAAAGCACATCAATTCAATATCACCGAGTAGAAATTTGAAATGATTCCATATTATATCATTCAACCTCCCCCGAAAAAAAATCCCTAAGAAGACTTATTCAAGTTAATGATCCATAACTATATAAAATTAAAATAAAGAACTGCCTGAAAAAACAATTATCTAACCAATATTCGTAGTGGTGAGAAGGAAAAGGTGGAGCTGGATTGGACTTCTCCTTAGAATGGACCCAAATGTCACTCCCAGGAGAGCCAGATGAACAAAAAGAGGGGACCGCCCACCAGAGACCGGACGAAGGAGCATTGAACAGGAGATGAAGTCCAAGGGATGGTCATGGGGACAGCAGATCAAGAGATTGGCCTTAGACAGGGAGAGATAGCGTTCCTCCGTATCAGCCTTATGGGCTGCGCAAGCTTGTATAATAATTGTATAAAAAATTGATTACTTTGATAAAGTGTATTGTTAAAGTTAAAAACATTCCCGATTCAGTCATGTTTCAACTTGTCATAAAATGCCCAACATTCCGATGATATTACTGATTTTAGTGCTTGCAAATGTTTGAATTAGGCATTTGAGATGCTCCTGCTTGCATAAAACAGCTTCTTGGGAGTGGCAATCAGTGCTGTAGACTGATTTCTTTTCTCTGGAAACTGACCATTCGTCCCCGAATCCAAGTTTATAGAGTATTTTTCCATCAGGCAGGTATTTCAGAGCCCTGATGTCAGTAACTGTAGCATCCCCAGCTTTCTTTCCTGGAAGGATGCAACTAAGGGTGTTCACACCATCAACATTTGAGAAGAACGTGTGAGTCAAATGCTCCACAGAGTGCTGATATAGCTTTCTTCGGGCTTCTTCAATTAATCAAACATAGTCGATAGGAAGGAAAATCTTCTTATTCTTTATTCGTCTTTCGATAACACTGTGGACGTTATCCACCTCCATCATCATGAGGCCCCTCTCAAGTATTTTCTGCTCTACTTCCTTGTCATGCATCACGGCGAACCTGGAAAGAGCAGTGGCTAATGTTTTGTTTCTGTTCTCAAAAGTACATCCATCGGAATAGACGATGTACCTATCAAAAGACAGATCACTTTCCAAGTCATCCACAATGCAAATTCGTGAGCAAACAAGCCCCCTTCCGCATCGTGCCAGACATAGCATATTGGACACCGTGTGACTTTAAATCAAATATTGTGAAGTTATGGATACAGAGTCTGGTCGTATAGTATAATGCTGATGCTTTCAGCATGGGGCAAAGCAAAACTGACTGTAGATCCACAGTAATGACCTTTGTCGTGTCGTTATTTTGGACCATTTCCTCATCTCCTGCCATCTCTTGCTGTGCCCTTTCTTTCTTCTGCCCATGAGCCAGATATGTCTTCATCGGCATTGCCTTCATCAGAGATCATACTGATCTTTACGCGGTTTGAAAAGAGAAAGATTCATTTTCTGTAACTCATCGTCAAGAATTGGATGAGAAAGAGCCTCCATCTTCTTTTCTTTACATTTTGTTTCATAGAGACGAAATAGATCGGTCCTGCAATGGAAAACTGCCTCTAAATATAGCTTGGAGCTTTTCTTTCGGCAATGGCAATAGTGAGACTCTGTTTAGACAGACTTTCAAGGAAGGCTCACAGATGTAATTGCGCATCAGAGTCAGATGCTGGTCTCCAAGAAGACTCATTCCCTGTTGATAAAAGATCACCTGGTCCTCCGCGATGGTGTCTCACATACCGTACCGTTCCTTGAGTCCTATTGTGGACAAAAACGTCTGACAGCAGACCCTGAATCTGCCTCTACTGGTTTTCAGAAAATACTGCAGGGACGTAGTCCTACAGGATTGCTGCAGACGCTGCTTTTCTCTGTTTGGCTGGCACCTCGCATACATGTCCATGCAAAAATACACCATTCTCTGGCCAGGGCAGCGACAATAAGAAATAAAATATTTCCTACCTCTCTTCTTCTGTGACATTCGAACACTGATTACACTTGACCTTGCAGGAGCATCTTTCCCCAAAGTTCTTCTATCCTTTTCAA